CCAGCCTCCACTCTAGCCAGCCTCCTCCTCTCCCTCACCCTTCAAGCATTCTCCAAAAATCGCTTTCCACTCTCAATCATAGCAGCACTTACCACTGTTGACAGTCCCACAATCATTGCAATCCATTCATCTCCTGTTCGCTCATTTATTCATTATATGAGCGAACTATATTCATTAGTTCACACTATATTCATTAGTTTGAGAGATATTGTTTGATAATTGAATTTGGAGATTGGTCATGAGAACGGCTGTAAATTTGCCTTCGCCGTCCTAGGTTTCTTAGTGCTGAAACAGTTGAAACAGCTGAAGAACATATTGGTTTACTGAATGGGGTTCTATTTGTGAAATACACATTTGTGTTAAACCTTTATCTTTTAAAATTGCAGTGTACTAAATTTCAAGAAAGAGGCGTATGTCTGTGGGGGGCGCTAGAAATTGACTAGGGAGCCAAAGGGGGCGCCAGCCTGAAAAGGTTTGGGAACTACTGGTCTAAGTAATTGAAAGGCTTGTTCTATAAATATCTCCCAAATGTAAATCTTCATGTATTGCTTGTGAATAATTTTAAAATCGGGTCTTTTTTCAAGTATAAAGATAAAGATGCACTGTTCCTATGCAATTGTCCCTAGTTTATCAATGTAGTTGTGCGCATCTGCGCATGTTGGTATGACATCTCACAATTTTTCTGCTAGGATAGTGAAGCACAAAGGAAGAAGTTTTAGAACAGAAAATCTGCTTGCACATCCCCTTCATCCATCATGCCAAGCAGTGCAATGTCCCGGTGTCCAATAGTGATTTTACCCTTCAATTTTAGCTTTCACAACCATTATTTCTTATCTTTTAATTTTAGAGTCCCTGTAAAGCAATGGTTCCCAAAGTGGGCGATATTGCCCCCCTGGGGGCGGAGGAAAGATCTGGGGGGGGGGCAGTGAGGAAGAAAGGGGAAGTAGGGGAGGCGGCAGTCCGCTAAGTTGAAGTCAGAAGTTTGTACGTTTGTTTGACGATTTGTCCACAACACGTGCAGAATGTGACTCCAAGTCAAATAAATTTTCACAAGCTAAAAATCACCATTTGGGAGTTAGGAATTTATATTCAAAATTTTGTTCAAATATGTTAAGTAGTTTGGAAGATGAAATTCTTTGATCATTGCAAATTTTGGCCCTTATCATCATATAACTCCCGCATGAAGGTGAAATTTAACATTTTTTCAAGAGCTAAACAACACCGTTTAGGTCCTAACAACGTGTTCAAATTTTTATCAAGGTGTGTTCATGTGTTTGGTAGATATTCCTTGATCACTGAATTTGTAGATTGGCCATGAGACTGGCTGCAAGACCAGCCACGAGTCCAGCCTTAAATTGGTTCAAGCTGTCTTGAATTTCTAGTGCTGAAACAGTTGAAACTGTAAAAAATATATTAGTTTACTAAATGGGGTTCTATTTGTAAAATACACATTTGTGTTTATCCTTTCTCTTTTGAAATTGCAGCATACTAAATATCAAGAAAGAGGTGTTTGTTTTTATATGTGCCTGTGGGGGGGGGGCTAGGGATTCACTGGGGAGCCAAAGGGAGTGCCAGCCTGAAAAAGTTTGGGAACCACTGCTGTCTATTTTTTAACAAAGGCTAGTTTAAATTTCACTTACAGTTCATATCACCTTAAAATTGTAAATAGATACATTTGTCTGCTGATATTTACTTCATTCGTATTTGTTTTCATTTGATGATTGATGTTTTAAGGTCTTCAATGTGAATTTACTTTGCTAATTGTTTGTGCTTGTGTTTTAGGTTTTGAACTGATAATGGAACTGAACTTAAATGTTTTCCTTCATAAGAAGTGATTTTTTTGGCTGTTTTCTTTGCTTTTAAATTCTTGGGAAAAACAAATTTAGCATATTGACTTGAATTGCTCATTTGCCTAAATTTCTTGCAGATGGTAACAAATTTCACTTGTTATGAACATAAGGAGGAACTTCTGACAGATGTCTATGTTCATCATTTCATATGGGATTTTACACTCCTAGGGGGATTGTTCCTGAGTGCCGCACTGCTGAGCTTGCAATGTCTGACTTGGGGTCTCAGTTATGGGGTTAAGTTATTATGTAGGTAGGACTTTTTTTTTTACATTTCCCTTCTGTCTCTAACATGAATTTTTTTATGGACATATCTAGGGTAAAACTAATGATTTGAGTAAAATTTGTTATAATTTAATATTGTCTTCCATGCCTTAAAACATGGATTTACTGCTCTAATACCAACCTCACTCTCAAAAACCTAAGTGATGGATCTGAAGTTTTCAGCTCTGTTGTAAGTGTAGAAAATCTCTTTAATTATCTACTCCGTTTTGGACAAAAATGAGAATTTTGGCTTCTCTGGTTTTTAGTCTCATTTTGTAGTTCCAAGATTTGCTTATTTAAAATGTCTGAAGCCATGTTTGTGCATTTGTCAGTATGTTCATGACAGCCATTGAAGCGATTGCAAGTAAAACTTATACCTTCAATGATCACAAATTTCAGTTCATTGGGTTTTCTGAAAAGTTGGAATTTTTATCTCAAAAACCTATCTCCTCTTATTATTTTTAAGCTACAGCAATGAGAAATATACGTACCATTCTATTTGTAAAGAAAATCTCTACAATCCATCTGATTTTTTTTATTTCATTATAGTTTTTAATTTATATTGAAAAAAGGGAGGGTAGCAAAAATTTAAAAATTTAGATAAATCCTCCCTCCCACTTGAATAAATTAGAAATTGGAAATAATGATCAGCTGGTTTCTAGATAAGGTCTTTACAAATCAAATGACATGTCTCTTGATAGTATAGCACATTTATTGAATAAGGAGATTTTCACTGTACCCCCTTTTTTGACATTTTCTATTAAATACACATTTTCTTTCATTTTTTTATATAGTTGCACTAATAAAAAGGTCTTAGATTTTTGTGTTACATATGTGTATCAAGTTCATAACGAATCGTCCATAAATAAAAAATAATTTTTTACCCAAACAGTCCCCTAAAGCAGTAACTGGATTTTTGGAGCTGCATTTTTCAAGCTATCAGCCAGGAGTTCTTCAGTTTTTGATGAAATTAGAATTTGTCTTCATTGCTGTAAGCAAACAGTCCTGTCTGACAAAACAGTGTCTGGGAAAATGTCCAAAAAAACATAGGCCCAGGAATTATGGCTAGGCTGATACTAAAAACTAAATTTCAAAGTTTCTTCAAGCATTTTATTTGGATACTTCATAATATCCAATATTGCAACTTTGGATTCTTAAAAATAATTCACATTTGCGAACAGAAAAAATAATTGAACTATATAAAGCTATATATTAGTTTTTTGTACCAAATTGGATTTTTAAATACTATCACTACAGTGTTGAAAAAAACTGCTAGCTTCACTAACTCTCTATGAGCTGTTCAGGACATATTGCCAGTAGGTTAATGATTGAAAAAAATGCCACTAGAAATCTCCTTTCTTTCTGAATCCTCATGAGGATTTTCATGATACCCTCTATTTTGTATGTTTTCAACCATTTTGTCAAGTAATTAAATGCCAGTAAAAAAAATTCACCAATGTCTGAAGTAACTATTAATTGCAATACAAACTATAATACTATTTTCAACTGGTGTGATAGTCATATGTGCTCATTGTAGTCATTCTCAAATCACAAGTTAAACACATTATTTTCTTTGAAATATTTATTTTCAATTTTTCATTGTGTTAAGCGAAATTATACTCTGATATTATACATTAAACCCTAAATTTTACCTCACAAATGCCTTGAACAAAATGCTCAATCTATTTCTTAAAACGTTATGATGAAAAAGTGGAGATTGTTTTACGAAAGTTACATTTACAACTTTGTGTGTGATGAGCAATCATGGTATTGCTTGATGTAGATAACATTATTTGCTGCCTTCTTGTATGAACTTTCTACCTTCCCTTGCTTGGTAGAAAATTTAATAAAATTTCTATTGCTGAAATTGGTGAACAAACTAGTCTCTGCACTCATTCTTCACATTTTGTACAAGTTTTTTTTTCAAAATCTTTTGTTATCCTGTAGTATTTTCTGGCATGAACACACATCACTGATTTTCTCACCTACTAAATCTTTTTCTTGAAAGTTAGTAGGTACCTACATTTATGAGGACTTTGCTTAATGTTACTCCTTTCTTTTTGGAACATAAGCCATCCTGATAACATTTATATTTGAAAAAATGCAAATGTTAATAATTTTGGCATTAATTCTGGACAGCATTACTGAAGACAGCTTCCTCATATATAGCATTGATTTCCATCTTAAGGTGATCAGTTGGTCACACAGTTCTCCTGTCTTGACTCCTACTGTTACTACTGTTTTGTGAAGACCCATGTGTCAAATGTGTTTAAAACAGTTATTACAAATCAGTTGGAACTAATGTCTGATGGAGTGAAAAGTTTTTGATTGAGGTCCAGACAAAATTGTTCGAAATTAATTGTTCAATATTGTTGACACATGAGGCATTCATTAATAACAAGGTACTACTGTACTGTATCTACCTATCTAACTAACTCCATTGTTGGTTAAATAGTAACCCTATGGAAACAGTTCTCTTGTGGCTTTGCTGCTGGTAATTATTTTCATTTGTGTTTGTTGGGAAGTTGTTCATTTCTGTAAGTAACTGGTAATCATTGCAAGGTATTAAGCCTCGCAGTGCACATGTAGAATAACCAAGATCATACCTATATATAAATATAGGTTTGATTGGTGCTAATGAAAAATAACTAAAATTGGTCTGTAAGATGCTTGTGTGCATCCATATTTGTCCCAAGAATCTTATCTTTGATTATTTTACTAGTTAAGTATGATTTTCTTACACATTAAGTATGATTCCTTTAATTTATATATTACATGTTGCATAAAATGTCTAGCTTTTCAAATGAGTCAGTCATTATTTCAGTTTTAAAATAAATTTATAAGATCCTATTTATTTTTTACTACAATTTATAAATTTTTCTTGTGCAGCTGTCACAATGGCTGAAGAACATCTCTCGCTGAAGTGGAACAACCATCAGGCACATTTTGTGGACATCCTCACTTTCCTCAGGGAGAAGGTGATTAAAATCTCTGCTATTAGAAACTTGCCTATTCTGAGTTATTAATCTTTTAAATATATTCTGGTTAGTAAATTCAATAGCTATGATTGATAAATCCTTCTCAAGATAATGCTTTTTTTTCTTTGAGTGTTCTAATTTTATTAAGATATGATATTGGCTAATCAATGAACTGTCAGTGCCGACTTAGTTTTTAAATTAGTGGTTCTAATATTTCATTTAATCGATTTGTTATTTGAAAAAATGTAAGGATTCATTTTTTTAATTAATATATTATGTATTTTTTTCCAAGAAACTGATATAAAATAATTTTCAATATAACCAAGGTGTTCAGATGTCAATGTCAGCTATCAAATCCACTGTCAGAAATCAATGTGAATAGATTTCTTTCACAATTAACCATGGGTAAACTATTATATGCTTGTTAGTTGTGATTATTGTGATCGTTCATGTTTCCATCTCAATCATAATTATGAACAGGTGGAACGATATTCATAAGTACCTATCAATTAATCCATTACATGATGCATTTGTGATTAATTGCTAGCTGTGGTTTTGAGTTTTGTCACATTGAGTATATTATCACCTTATTATAAATTGATAGCACTTAAGGCTAAATTCCATAATTTTTTACTTTAATTTTAAGCTTTCTTGACGTAAAGCTTATTTCTAACCTGAATATCTTGTTCTCCACAGGGGATGTTCGTTGATGTGACCTTAGCCTGCGGTGGAAAAATATACTCTGCTCACAAATTTGTGCTAAGTACTTGTAGTGATTACTTCCAGAAAATCTTCAGCAAAAACACCAGTACGAACCCCATTGTTTTCATGAAAGATGTTTCCTGCAATGACATTGAAGCCCTGTTGGATTTTATGTACCATGGTGAAGTGAACGTTCCACAGTCTAGTCTTGGCTCTCTCATTAAAACAGCCGAGGGCTTACAGATAAAAGGTTTAGCTGTGCCCGATGACCCACCTTCCTCACGTAAGAAGCAAGACAGAGATAAGAGAGAAAGAGATCCTAGTTCATCTTCACATTATGAAAGTCGTAGTCCGCCTCCAAAAAGAAGATCACGCAACTCTCCGCCGCCGCCGCCGCGACGAAGCAACGCTCGTGCCATTCCACCTCCAGTAGAAGCTTGTCTTGACAATGATACAGACGATGTAGTCCTAAGGAACTCTGAACCTTCCACCAATAATCATGATCGTCATTCTTCTAGTGGTACGCATAACAAGAAACTGCATCAACGTGCCAGTCATGATAGCAGTGAAGATTTATCATCTGATGGTAAAGGAGTTAATGATAAAGACCTGAACCAGGAATCTCATGACCCTGAAGCACACCCTGCCTCCGGTGCTGATGACGCGTCGGAACAAGATGCTGGCCCATCAGGCTTGCGCCAGTCCAAGCAAGAAGAGGTGGTGAGTACATCAAATTGTCTAATTGTTAAAAGCTATTCAAAATAACATTTAAACATTGAACAATTATTCATTCGTGTAAAGGTCTGTCATTTGGTGAAACTTGAGCTCGTTTATATTTTCTAGCACAAAATTCGTTTGTATTGCCAATCAAGAAAGAGTATTTTTTCATCTCAATGGAAGGGAATTTCATTGGCAGACGAGTGTTTAATTTTTTTATATATCTCATGGTTTTTGTGGACTATTTCTTGTTACAGGAAATAAAACAAGAAGATGTTGTTGAATTGGGTGAAGATGACGATGATGGTGTTGACTGGGGAGGGGGAATGGGTGATGACGGAGGTGGTGGTGATGGTAACAACGATGGCCTCAACTCTGGTGACAACTCGGTATCTTTTTCCGATGTGTTGCTACCTCCTCCTGAGGGAGGGGGTGGACTCATGGACGGCACTGGCACAGGCGACTCCGCTATGGTGAGTGTTGATGATTTTTGCTTTTGACTCTAGGGCAGACTAGCGTTTACAAATTCACACTTAATTCATCTTGCTTGTTAAATACATCTCATTTATTCTCTACATCGTTTCCAATATATCACTCCAGGCAAATGATGTTGGAACAAAGTTGATTACAAGTTGATTACAAGTTGATTTCGTTGAAAAAACAATAAATCGACATCATTTCAATAGTATTCTCTGGTGGGAAAGTATACACTTCTCTATCTTGAAATACTGATGTGTGGCTACAAAATTTCAACTGCTATTTGATTCTTTAAAAACTACTATCAATTTTCATCTATCATTCTAACTCTTGATGCAAAATAGTTCATCCTCAATACATATGTCAAATACGCGGATTACTCATTTTCCATAGTACAGGATTCAATCTTTATGTGATGACACTCACAGTGCATGCTGGACTGTACAACTTGATTCAATTTTCATTTTAATTTCAGCACAATGCTGAACAATGTGTCAGTAACTGAAATTAACGATTAAAGCTTAATTTGTAAACACTACTCTGCCTGAGTTCCTTGTGTTGGAAAACCAAGTAGGCTGGTGCTATTTATCATATAGTATTTTTAATTGAAACAGCTCTGCACAATTCATGCTCTTTTTTTTATGTGCTCTTCGGTGAATGATATTGCTGATGAATTTAAATGCCACAGACCTGTTATGTTATTACATATTTGACAACTTCTTTGAATATTTATGAATTTTATTATCTGAATTTTTAATGTCATTGTCGATGCATCAGCCTCATGGTAATCCACAAAATTTCTGCACCTTATCATAAGCAAGTTTATCAAGGAACCCACCTGCAACTGTATTGTACATGTCTTCTTTGTATAATGCTTTGATTCCATTTAAGCTATCTTTATATTTGTCTGAATTATCACTCGAGTTTTCCTATGAAAATAAAAATTGCAGAGAAATTCTGTTGTGGTGGTTCCTTGATTTAAATTTAAACCGAATTGGCAGTGACATGTGCTCCCTGGCAGTGACATGTGCTCCCTGGCAGTGACATGTGCTCCCTGGCAGTGACATGTGCTCCCTGGCAGTGACATGTGCTGGGGAGGAGTATGCCTCCTATGAAGTGTCATGTAATCTGCAACTTCGCTGTAGGGACAAGGTTCCGAATATCGAGCTAATATGAGATATATATCAAAATTTGTATCAATTATTCAACCAGTTTACCTTTGAAATAACTTCATGAAGGTAATTTTTTTGGAAACTTGTTTGTCAATCTGGGTTGAAAGTTGTTTATGCGATGTTCCCTGCAGCGTTAGTTCAGGCCTCAGTAATATGCTTTGTAAGAAATACTGTTATTTTGAGGATTTTGTGAGCGGTTTTTCCATCCTGGACTTATTTGATCACCTTGTAATTTCATGGAAATCCATCAGATGGCGTTTTTGATCTTTGAATAACGATTTTCGCATTGCCTTTGACGTTTTAGTCGAACCTGTTATTACATCAACTAGCGTTAACATAAAAATGAAAAATATCATAAGCAAAAAATAAAATCGACATTTATTGCTGTTCGACTGATTTCGGTGCCGCTGATTTCACAGCCAAGCCTTTTTTGGCCTTGGGTTTGATTGATAGATCTGTCAAGTTTAAAAATTACTGCATTTTATAGTATAATTATAAGTGCCCTTGATCTAATACGATCGTCCAGTGATGGGAGACCACATCTATGAATCCTCTTCTATAATTATCAAATAATGATATGGTAGCTGTTCTTCGTCAGTTGACCGAAATATCAGATAATTTTTCCTAGCCTGCTTGGGCTCGAATCTTTTCATTGGTTTCACTGCGTGAGCGCGATTTTGCTCCACGTGATGTTGCTTTATAAGTTTAGACGGCTCTTGTGAACTGGTGATTCCATGAGAAGTTTCGTGCCCAGTAAGCTCTAATTTACTTCGTAAGTTTTCATTGGTAAGTTAAACCGCCGTGATCCCCGTGTTTCCAAGAAGATCTGTCTGACTCTTCTACTGCTTTCAGCCGTGGTAAAATTATATTGGAAATTGTTTGCCAACGAACGTTGGTGTCGCAAACTCCAATGCGTTCATTTTTTTATATTATAATTCGAAACCTATATTTAGATTAATGTCTGCGGTCGTATGTCACATAAAACAATTGTAGAGTAGAGGTCGTTGAAGCTATTGCTAAATACGTACGTGGGAAATGTGGAGTACCCAAAAGGTGGGTGCGTTCAAAGAGGAAAGCGATGGCGATGCATTCATATTCAGTATTTTACGACTCAAATACTATATCCCGTTTCTCGCGTGCTGTCCGCGAGCTGGCTGCGCGGATGTTATTATACCATTTCCTATTACGCGAGAATTCGTAAGGCAATGTTGATACTGTGATTTAATGTTCATGTGCTTATGGTTTTGTGGTTATGTTGTTGTATGCAGCCTTGCTTCGTGAAGCACCACGAAATAAGTCATGATCCCGAAGCTTATTTTGTAAATCAAACTTTTGCTCTAAATACTTTTCTAAGGTTAAATCGAATTTGCTGTAATATCTGATCAGCGTAGGTAGGTGTGTTGTACGTTGCATTACTGTATTGTTGGAATGGCCGCATTTCTGAAAGGACAATACATTGATTTAGCGCAATCAAGATGAGAGAAGAAGCTTGTGTGTCCTGTGCACTGGAAATCCCTGGAGTAATGAAGTGAGGGACTTTACGCTCAGCGTGTTACCTCCCTCTCCACTGACCTGGGGCTGATCTGCACTCGTATTTTGCAGCTGATGAGCCTTGCTGGCGGTGGAGAGGGCATCCTTTCCCCATTCTGGGCTTCACTGCACGCTTCTTCTTCGTCTTCTCCTCCGTCAAGTTTCTTCCACATGCCAGGCATGACACCCCTCATACCATCCAATGCCACCAAGGCTTCATCAGCTGCATACTTGGCATCAAGCTCAACGCGGCGAGTGAGACAAGCCGAGGTACGGCAAGAGCTGCGTGCCGTTCATCAAGAAATAGCCTCTCTTCAGTCAATGTTGGAACGAGGCGACCTATCTCCCTCAGAACTGCCGGCGATTGAAGAGAATTTGGCGTCCAAACGACAACTACAAATTTCGCTCGAGAAAGGACTTCATCGGCTCATCAGCGGGCAGTTGAGACAACGCAAGTTCAGGGAGAAACTAAAGCAAAAAACATTCAGTAAACAACGATGACCTTCGCAATGCTTCCACGCCAATGCGTGTAACTGAGATTTCCGCCTCTGAAGAAGTCGGTTCTAGCGTCAGCGATAACGTCGATATGGACTTCTTCAGCGAGTGTTGACTTGTTAGTTCCGTTAGGAAAGCAAAAACCCATGACGAATGGGCTAATGTTGTAAAATTTTGGCATTTTTAGCAAAATGATTTAACTCTTATCGAAACTGGTTTGAAATCTTGATAGTCAAGTTTGTTAGACTATCCAATGCTTATTATTTATTGTTTTACAAGATAAATCTTGAACGAGATGTAAGTTAAGTTTCGGCGATAATGACCGATTTTACGATTGGTTGTAATTTGTTGGAAGAATTTGATGCTCTCTTAACGATTTCCATGACTTGTATAGATTTCTCAGCAACGTTTTCCATGAAAACTTTTTTTTCGATTTAATTTTACGAGGGTTTGAGTTTTTAATAGTTTTAATTATCACGGTTATTACATAATGAATTCTAATCTAACATCGGTGCTGATACGCTTGGGTTTACATACCTTTGCTCTTGTGCCATTTCATGTACTTTTCGTGCCATAATTAACACATAAGCTTAACGTGTACATAAACCTTACGACTATGTTGTCAGTAACCTTACGATAGTATCATTATGTCTCTTATATTTACTTGCATTGGTCTGGCGAGGGATCGTCAGCTCAAGTTCATTGACAAAACTGGACAAGCAGCAATGTACTTTGAAAACGTGAACGTAGGCGTAGGATATATTAGTAGTAGTTTGCGCTCATGGAATACCTGAGATAAATGCCACTAATGAATTCTTTGGCCGCGAGCTGGTCGTCGAAGTGTGACGCAGATATGTCACGCCCAGCATTAAAGTTCGAAATTCTTATTAACTTGTTTCACGAGCGTGGATTAACGATGCTCTGATTAATTGAATTGAAATTCTACCCCTGAAATTATATTTGGATCGATGAGCATTGCATGTAAAGACGTTTTCTTCTCAATTAGTCCTATAATTGTTTTTATCGCATACTTCATGCACCATTCCTGCCAACCACAAAGCGCTCGACATCACAGTCAACGTTTCGGTCATGCTGATCATGTCAGCGTTCCTTTTATTAGATTTTCTTGAATTTTGACGTGATTTAAAGATGGACGGGTTAATCGCTTTAGTCGTGCCGTGTGTGTGACCGGCACCTCATGCCCCCCCTCACCTCTCCAGTGACAGTTTGGTCTCGTGTTGCAGGTGGGGGGGTTGCGTGGGGTAAGACCTTACCGTCGACCTGGCGGCGCTGACAACCTCACTACCTCTTCCTATCAGAGGTACTCCTCTTCCTTTTCGGCTGACCTCTCTTCTGAAGCACCTATGTTCCCCGGTGAAGCCTCTTCTGATGCTGCAATCAATTCTGTACTTTCAGCGAATTTTTCTAAGTCGGGATATGTTACGAGCAGGAAGTGCGCTACGTCGGAGCTTTTGAACTGTGTAGGACATAATTCTTTAATGTTTGAAATGTCGTCGTTATCTGACTGCGGTGCAGCAGGAAGAGTTCAAGATGGTTTAATTTTGGCACACATGGACTCACGAAAGCAATCCGAATGGCGGCCGTTTTCTTGTTCTTTTTGTGATAAGCGCTTTAAGAGAAAAGACCACTTACGAGACCATGAACGACTTCACACGGGTGAGAGGCCTTACGTATGTAGCCGTTGTGGCAAAGCCTTCGCTCAGCGGTGTAACTGGAATATGCACTGCGCTCGTTGCCTTCCGACGACCGCTCCCTGAGTGGTGGTATTCTGTACAGTT